TCTAACGTGCTGACTTTTTCTTTACACAGAGAGATAAGCCTGATTAAAGCCAGTTACCATCGCCTTAACAGATTCTAACATCCTTTCATTTCTTTCTTTACACACACACACACACACACACACACACAATAACATTGCTTTATCGTTATAGTCAACTTTCACTTTCATTTCTTTAACCCGCCCTCAACACACACACACACACACACACACACACACAATAACATATGCTTTATCATTATAGTCAACTTTTATGCTCACTGTCACTGCGTGGAACAAGACTTTGTTAACCAATTCCAACTGTAATGATTATAAATAAATTATGCGCCTTGGTAAAATGACAGTTTTTGCCCTAAAACATGTGGATCAGAATTCATTTTTTGCATATTTTGACAACAGATTTACTACCAGTCTGCATCAGAGCAGAATCCTCTTTTGGCACTGAAAGGTAGTAGTATTTTTGCTGGCCTTCTCGCATAAGTACTTGTATTTGGAGTATACTTTTTACAACACAACATTTTGCAATTACAACACTACTTTCGTTTCAAATTATATACCATATCAGGGTGCAAAATTCTAAGAGCAGAGCCTTTAAATAAACTATACATACGTGAGTTTTCAGAGGTTTGTGGCACGCAGTCTACTACAAATAGCCAGAATAAGAAATATTGGTAAGGACAGCCGGAGTAGGCTCCAGAACCACATCATCTGTCAAACACTGTCGACGTAATGATGACACATGAATAAATATGTCTGCTAGTAGAACTGCATTACTAGTGTTTGTTGATGATGTGACTGCTGACAGAAGTAGCAGGATGAACTGTGAAGTGTACGGGCTATACTCTCGGCTCAGATTCTGCCAAATGCTAAAAAAAAATGATCAAACAGCACTTCATGATGCAAGTGGATAATGACCTAACGAAAACTGCAAAAGAAACCCAAGAGTTTCTAAATGCAAAGAAATAGGATAATCTTGAATGTCAAGACAGTCACCTGATCTCAAAGCTAAAGGCAGAGAGACCCACCAACAAGCAATAATCGAAGGCGACTGCAGTAAAGGCCTGGCAGGTTATCTAAAGTGCGGAAACGCAGCATTGGTGATGTCCGTGGGTTTGGCTTCAGGAAATCACTGAGCTCAAAGGATTTTCATCCAAGTATTTAAAAAAAATCCTCATATTTAAAATTATTTAAGCCCAACTGCTTTTGAGCCCCTGAAATTGGGGGAACTATTTAAAAAACTTTCTGTAACTCCTAAACAGTTAATGAAACACTTTTGTTAAATCCCTTGAAGTAAAGCTAAAAGTCTGCACTTCAGTCACATCTAGATTTTTTTTTTTATTTAAAATCCACTGTGGAGGTGAACACAATATCCTGTCAATATCATAAGCATTGCCTCTATAGAAATTGAACTCTTTCTCTTGTGTGCTGCTGTTGGCTCAGGCTTCAGTTGTTTTTGCCTTTATATGTGTTAGAGTGACCCAACTCCTGTCTATATTTAGCAATGATGTGTTTCTATAAATATTGTGCCAGCCAGATTCCTCTGTTGTGATCTGCAGATCATATCGTTCTTATTGTGTTTCATCAGTTTATTGTTAAAATTAATAATTGATATTCACTAACCCATTTGTTGCCTTAAACTGCTAAATGTGATGGCTTTAGATGTAATCCCTCAGAAAATAAAATATGAAATGTATTATCCAGTGTGGCAAAAACATGATTTATTTTATTAATATAAGAAAAATAAAGATCAAAAGGGACAACAATAATTACATAACAATAACGTGATAATGTTGGAGCATATAAAATAATAAAGACTTCACAATAAATTGTTTTGTCGGTGCATTCAGGTTTCTTCTTTTGGGTCTTGTCCTCATCGATTTCCTCCACCTGGCAGGATCAGCAGTGCATGGATGACAGACATGTGCTTAATCCCATAAGACACCAGCAGGGCTTTGTCCTCCAGCGGCTCCGTTCTAAACACCAGCCGCATTTCACCAACTGAGCAGAAGAAGAGAGAAGAGCTTTAAAGAGCTGGGCTTGCTTCACGCCTCTAAGAGCAGATCAGCAAAGCTAATATTTGGATCATTTAATATATGTGATGTAATTATTTAATCATACTAGCAAAAGTCGAATATTTGTTTTTATTGTGTTTGTGGAGTCCCCCTGTCAATCAATTTAACTATACTGTTATTCTAAGCCCCTTTTTATCTGCTAATTTAAGTCATGTTTATGGTGTTTGTATGTGTTATCTGAGTGACTGCAGACTAAATAAATGGGAGGCCACACTGCATTTTGTTTCATTTTGGAAATTAAATAGAACTTTTTTGTAAATAGAATCTGCTGCACAATAACATACGCATTTCTACAAATAATTAATAACAGACGATAAGAAGAGTCATACTTACTTATCATCAGTGCGTAAGAGATTTTGCTTTTTAGCTCCATCACTTTGAGGACCTTCATCTGGTCCATATTGTCACAAATATCGACTATCTTCTCCTCTCCTCTCGGTCCGTTTACTTTCAGCTGGATGGACATTTTAGCACTAAGAGATGGATCTGTTTCTACTTCAATCAGACCTTTATTGAGGCTTTTAACTTCAACTATCTTGGCCACGAGACAAAATCCCAGCAGTCGCCGCCCATTTAGGTATTCAGGTAAACAACTTCCTCCAGTGGAATACTTCAGCACACTGTGAGGGGCGAGTCAGTTCTAACTATGGGCAAAATTTGGGCTCAGCAAGCAAGGTGGCCCCTAAATCCTAAATAAATGTGAAGAAAAATGTTTTA